CCCAAGTAGGTACAGCCCTCACGTTGTTCTGGGCTCAAACATTGCAGGTCATAGAGCCACTTGCAGTCTATGTGAAAAGTGTATGCTGAGTTATCTGCAGGGCCATTTGGAAATCTCTGACTTTGTTACACAGCTTAAAAGATTGTTGATAGAATTAGGGTACTCTACATTCTGAGAATTCACATCACATGCCCTTTAATTAGCAATATGGCTATGAATTGGGATCAGCTATCCAGTGAGTTATTGCTCCAAGTTTAGTGTGTAGCAGGGGGATGTCCAATTGTTCAGCACGTGTTATTGGACTGCCTAATGATAGGGGATCGATGGTTAATCTGCCCAGGGTGGTCCTAAGAGGAATCCTGCCACATGCAATGTTGTAATCTTTCCATTACCAGTCAGGAGGGAAGGAACTGAAGTTTAGGTTTTTAGTCATGTTTTCAATATGACTATGTAGGGGCTAACCACATACAAATCCCTGTTTTGCATTTAAGATCCCAGTACTATTTTTTTCATATGAGGCCAGTTACTTTTCTTAATGAAACAGATCAAATTAAATGAAGATTTACCAAGACAGTGTTGTGGATTTGAACTCTGAGCCTTATATTTTGTTCCCTGAGGCACAGAGGGACCATCAAACTACAGGAACACCAAGCACATTTGGAATTTTTGCTTATGGTCCTTCAAAGGTACACTTAGTAAAGAATAATTTCCCTTTAATAAATTAAGTACCAGTGTTCCACTTTAGATATTACCACAAGGCATAAATTCTGTGTGCAGACCCACCAAGCATATGTTTCTTTGGTGAAATTAAAATACTAAATAAGCAAGGGATACAGGTATCCTAGATACCAACTAAGTAATGTTGTCCTCTTCTAAAGCCCACACTTCCAAATGATCCTCAGACCTCCAGAAACTTTGCTCAATGGAATGGAAATCCTGTTAGACTCTATGCCTAAAGGAAGAAAAAGCCATTTGTGGTGAATATAGTGAAGGTGAGAAAGAGAACTGTGCCTAGATTTTTTCCCCCCAAATAATCCTCTAAAATAATTAAATCTAGATTTTGCTGCTTATCAGAGGCCTTTAAAGAAAGATTTATCTTTGGAGAACAGTGAGAGGTTTGGAATAGAAGCATCTGGAGCTAACACTCAAATGTTAGAACTGTTCATTACCACCCACCCTGCCTTCTTCTCTCTCTCTTTCTTATTTTTTTAATCACTTGAAAATGTGATACTCTTGCACTGAATTTTTCAGTGGGAAAAACACTCCCAAAATGGTATTAACAGTGGCATACAGCCAGAGTTCATACTCCTCTGTAAGTGTGTGAAATTTGGAGAAAGAGGAGAAGCTTTTACTCATGTTCAAAATCTTCCCGTCCTCCTAGATTTTTTCTTTCTTCTTTTATATGACATGGGAAATTATTATCAGATCATTGTATAACATGTCAGTGTTGGCTCTAGTTTCAGTACTGGTACTCTGGGCCCTGTGCATGGTGAAACTGGAGGACTCTCAGGCCGAGCATTGACATACACCTATAGCCAAATGCTCCCACTGTCCCTCCAGCAGCCATCTAAGGTTTAATTTTGATCAGATTTCTTATGCTGTCAAACTGTATCCTAGTTTTTTTTTTAATTTGTAAACTTCCTTAAAACATTAATTTCAAGGAGAGAATGAAAAAGCAGATGAGAAAGTTTTTCTCCCATTTTTACCTCTGTTGTTGACTGCTGCAAGGATTGATTACTCACTGAAGACAGACTATATTGGATTGGTCAGAAGGTTCATTCAGGTTTTTCCATAAACCCGAACAATCGTTTTGGCCAACTCAGTAACTCTTAAAAGAAGTTAAAGACCCAAGTGTAAAAGTTGCCATGCTGGGACTTTGCTGGTGGTCCAGTGGCTCAGATCCCAAGATCCCAATGCAGGGGACCCGGATGGTCAGGTAACTAGGTCTCCCATGCCACAGCTAAAGATACCACATGCCACAATGAAGATTGAAGATGCATGCCATCTTCAATGTGGCATGAGGTTGCATGCCACAGCTAAGACCCGGTGCAGCCAGATAAATAAATAAAGAGTTTTCTTAGTTCATTCGGTAGTGTCCAACTCTTTGCGACCCCATGGGCTGAAGCCCATGTATACTTCTGATACCCCCCCAAATATAAAAATCAATTTGTCACTCAAAATAAGTGCTGCATCTGCTTTCTAATTTGCACCTGATAATTTTTTAACTTTTTAATAGTGGGTATGCTTGAAGTAAGCTTCCCTGGTGGCTCAGATGGTAAAGAATCTGCCTACGATGCAGGAGACATGGGTTCAATCCCTGCATCAGGAAAATCCCCTGGAGAAGGGAATGGCTACCAGTATCTTCTCCAGTATCTTGCCTGGAGAATCCCATGGACAGAGTAGCCTGGCGAACTACAGTCCACGAGGTTGCAAAGAGTCAGACACAAATGAGCAACTCACACTTTCAGGCAATCTGGAGCTTCGGTAACACCAGCAGTGTCTTGAAAAGGCCAGTCACAGAGTACTCTGAATTCTGGTTTCCAGAGATTTCATCTGAGTTGGGCTGTATCTTTCTTCTTTTGTATGATCTCAGAAGCTGGACTTGAAACTAGGCCTTGGGCAGTATTAGAAAATTAGGCAACCTTGCTGCCTGCAGGTGATAGACTGTTCCACACCATTTTGGATCATCTGTTTGTAGGTAACTAGAGGTTAGTTGCACTGACAATAGAAAAGGTGTGCTTAGAGGTTTTGAATGATGAAGAAAGCTACCAGTCCTGTTTCACTACAAACTCTATAAGCAGCTTGTCTTGAATTTTCCCCAACAATTACCAGAGATAATCATCAGAACAAGTGTTACAGGTGAAATAGGATGTGGTATGTCTGGTATAACTGGTAGGTGGATGCTTTCTCAACAATTCAGCAGTTGATATTTCAGTTGAAGAGACCCACTTTTGGGCTGAATTTGTTTCCAGTAGCTGCCTTTCCCAGTTAAGGTGAGTTGATAGCACTTTATCCTGCTAAATATTCTCTCCACTACTTATTGCCACCATCTTTCAGTATCTATGAGGGAGGAAATAAGTCTGAGGTATACTGAAGCTTGGTTTTTTCCCTTGGCAGTGTTAGCCTGGCTCTATTTTCTGATTACTAGTTTATGAATCTAAACCTGGGCCAACCTACTCCCCTGTGAAAATGCCTGCTGTGTGAATTAATATTTTATTTTACATGTTTCTATTTAAAAGAGAAGTGAAGGGGAGAAAAAATTATATATGTAGAGTGAAAGAGAGACGAGAGAAGGATTCATTCAGTTATTCAGTAAATTTTAGTTGAGTACCTCCTATAATCTAGGCATTAGTCTTATCACTGTGGATACAGTAAAGAGCAAGACAGATAAGTCCCCTTTCTTTAGGATGAAAACAAACAAAAAACTAGAAAACGACTGGATGAAGAATGACTTGATAGGCTAGGAGGAAGAATTTAAGTGCTCAGAAAAGGTCTAACTCAAATCTTGTATTTGTGCTAAAATATAAATCACAAAAAGTTATTATCATAATGAAGATGTGGGAGAAGAATATTCCAGACAGAGATAACAGGCAATAGCCTTCAGTTAGGAATGAACTCAGTGTGTTAAAAAAAAAACCAGAAAGAAGGCTAGTGTTCTTGGAACCTGAGACCAAGAAAAGAGATGCAATTCAACATCATGTTGAAGGTGAAGGCAGGGCCCCAGATCAGAAAGGGTCTTGCAGGTAATGGTAATGATTTTGGATTTTATTCTGAGCACAGTAGGGACCATTGGAGGGCTTTACACAGAAGAGCAGCGTGATTTGAAAAAGTATCTAGCTGCTGTAAGCCTAGGGAGAAAGGGGGAGACCAGCTGGGAAGTTACTGAATGACTCAGCTGAGAAGCAATGACTTAGACCAGGGTGGTGATGATGACAACTCATTATGAGCAGAAATCCTCTGACTTCCTTTTAGTCTTTCAGTGTAGTTGTTAATCCGTCTTACATTTGAATTTAAATAAAGTAAAATTTGAACTTTCATGTAGTTCTGTGATTTCTAGCTACTTTTTTTTTGTTTGTTTTAATCATTTTCTTTCTGCCTTTTTTGAAAATTAAGTGCTGACTCTTAACACCTAATTTTTTTTTTGACTTGGCCTATTTCAGTGTACCCAGTATGCCTCAGTCTCATAATTTGTGTCTCAATATTTGCCAATGATTATGTGTAGTTGTTTATTAAAACATTTATTGCTTTCTTATTATAAGATCTTTCCCACAGGAAATACAGCAAAATATAAAGAAGAGGAAAAAAAAACTAACCTCTTCAGAGAAACATTTTCTTTTATTTCCTTTCCGTCTTTTTTCCGTGCATGCATATATTTATAAGTAGTTGTTATTTCTTAAGTAAATTTTGCAAAAGAAATTCATAAGAATTTCATAAGAAATTCAGTAGGTAAGTGGTTTGCTTCATTTACTTTTTTTTGTCTTTAAGATATTAAATAATTTCTTATTTTCTTCATTTGAGCTGCTATTGTCATTAATTGAAAAGTCATCCTCTCATTAGGTGTTTGTTATGTAACTCTTCTGTGCTTTAATTATACTGTCTGTGTCTTCAGCCAGCTTTGTTTAAAAAAAATCCTTAAAATGCCCACCAAGTTAAAATCACAGATGTGTCCCAGAGTTCAAATTTTTTCCTTTTTCTGGCATTTTTCCTTTCCTAGAGCCATAGTGTGGTTAGCTTTGCCAGGATCCATCATTCTAATCTAGAGGTTATATAAATTAAATATGTTAACCTGTTAATTAATTCCTTTGTCACTTCTAGGATTTACGGTGACTTATTCAGCTTATACTAAAGCACTTAGAAATCTCTTCCTAAAAATTTTTGGACCTCACCTAGATCTTGGCCAATAAAAGTTACATTCAGGAAAATAGAAATTCCTTTTGCAATGTGTTTGTTATGGATGTAGGTTAAAATGTAATGGTCGATTCTTGGTGATTGTTTTGTAGACCTCAAAGGAAGATCTTCTGCAGGCTGATTTTGAAGGCGCCCTAAAGTTCTTCAGAGTCCAGCTTCCAAAGAGGTACAGGGCAGAGGAAAATGCACGAAGGCTAATGGAGCAGGCTTGCAACATTAAGGTATGATATATGAATTTATAGGCAATAAAGGTGGAGGCTGAATGCAGAGTAACATGGCAAGTTATATAAAACCCTCTGTTTGTTGCTTGATTTTGACTGTGTTTGAAGGCGATGTGGTATCTGACCTCGTCTCTCTCAGACTTTTTTGTAAAGGTGGTCTGTATCTATAGTGACTGTATCTTCTAGTAGGACTTAGAGTGAACCTTGACTGGTTCGGATCGTAACAAGAGGAAGACAAACATTGATCTTACAAGTGGGCCTCTAGAGTAGCCTGCTCTGTTAGTGGTTTCCACGGCAGCAGACTTAGTATTTAGATTTTGCCATCTGTTTTAAGATTCTTTAGGGCCAAGCAAGAAATGCACCCTTCCCACCAATTTCCTGTTGGCTTGGGGATCTGTCAGAGGAGGATTTCTAGGTGAATTAGTTTCTGGAGTCCGAAGGGGTCACGTGGCTCCAGCTCCATCAGGTCTATCCATGGGCTTTTTGCACTTAACTCTTACTGGATTTTAAGTTGGGTAAAGTCATTCTTGTTTTCAGTGGCTGTTCTTGATTTGGTGTGTAATGCTTTCCAGGGAATACCTGTGTCTGTTGAGGAGCTTCCTGTTAGATGTCCCATTGCTTTCTTCTGCTTCCTGCTGCTGCACAGATAATGAATGTACAGTATACAGGACTTATGGTGGAGGTGTTTGTTCCTACCTACTTATATTTTGAAATTTATGGATATGCTTAGTGGCCATCTTTGATGATAGATGTTGTCCATGGGTTTCTGGTTTGCTACGTAATTTCTCTCCGGTTTTTGTTCTGTTTTGTTGTTCGATATGAATTCTTTAATCCAGTTGTTATTTTTTGATGTGGGGGCAAAAATAGAACTTAAAAAAACTAGGTGAAAGAATCTTAGAGGTGCTTGTTGATGATCATAGTCAGAAAGTTGATAATTTCCTGATACAGAAAAATTATACAATCAAGTTTTATAATAATTTTAATTAATTTGGGGCTTCTTTTATAATTAATCCAGTAATTCACCAGCGTCCATCATAGCTCCAATTTGTTTCTGTTCCTTTACAGAACTAAGTTAAATAAGCTCGATTGTGAGTTTGACAAAACTAGGATAAATAAATTTGATTATGAGTTAAAGAAAAGAAAAGCACCCTGCTTAGGCCGTGGTTTCTTTTCTCTAAGGGACTTGGAAAGCTCTGTCTTGATCTGTCCATTTCCATCCCACACCTGACAGATACATGTGGATATATTGCTCCTTATCACATGTCTTACAAAACTAAACAAATTTTATAAATAACCTGAAATAGAAATCTCTATTTAGAGAATTGTGGTGTCAAGGTGAGGTAGTGCTTTTTAAGTTTTTTTAATCTATATTTGTTTTTTGGGCTGGGCTGGGTCTTTGTTGCGGTGCGGACTCTCTAGCTGCAGTGCTTGGGCTTAGTTGCCCTGAAGCCTGTGGGGTCATAGTTCCCCGACCAGGGATTGAACCCACATCCCCTGCACTGGAAGAAAGATTCTTAACCACTGGGGTAGTACCAAGATAGTACATTCAAAAAAAAATTTGGAACCAATTTACTGATGCAAGTTCTTGTACCTTTGGAATATTCTAGGAAATCTTAACCTAACCATGACAAAAATATAAATTTGTATTCTGAACATAGATCCCAGGTCTTGCAGACTTTACCTTCTTGCAGAAGGAAACAGACAGCAGTAACCAATGAACATAATAAAGAATATATTTAATATGTCAGAAGGTGATAAATAGCTATGAAAAGAGAAAAAGTAGGGCAAAATAAGCAAGATTGGGGTGATGGGGAGAAGCATTACAGTTGTTAGATAGGGTAGATCTCACTAAAGGTAGAGATGAGTTAGTCATGGAGATGTCTGGGGGAGGAGTGGTGCAGCAGAGGCAACAGCTGATTCAAAGTCTCAGAGGCTGGCTCATGCCAAGTAAGACCGGTGCACAGCTGGAATGAAGTGAATGAAAACAAGGGCAATAGGAGAGGAAGTTAGGTCACAAGGGCCACTGTAAGGGCGTAGGCTTTGCTTTGTATGGAGGAGCCCTTGCAGGATTTTGAGTGAAAGAGTAAGAAGATCTGTCTGCAGTTTTGGAGGATCACAGTGCCTACTGTGTCAAAAACAGACGAGAGGAAGGTATGAGTAGAAGCAGGGAGATCAGATGTGGGTTTGCAGTAATCCTCTTGAGAAACGATGAGAGATGACCAGGGTGATCATAATGGGGAGAGACACAGAATGGAAGTGCTTGGAACCTGGACATATTCTGAAAGAGAACCGACAGGACTTCATGATGTATTAAACATGGGTGTGAGAGGGAAAAAGGAGCCAAAATGATTCCACAGATTTGGGATGGAGCAGTTATAAGAGAGAATAGCCATTGGCTGATTAAGCTCATGACTGAAAATGTGCTTTGACACAGACTTCCCTTTAGCACAATGCCCACTGTAACACTTTCTTTCTTTCTTTTTTTTTTTTTTTTGGTGTCCTTAGACTTGTGTTTGAATTTTAAGTTATTTTAAACTAAATTCTAAATGTTCAAAAATGTAACTCAATGTTGAATGTTAGCAACTCAGGAGAAAAAGGTTACATTGTCTTCCAAATGAACTCTGTATTCGAAGAGATCATTTTCCAAAGGTATTAAGAAAGATAGACCTCTAAAGTCTTCATCCTGAAATGCAAACTTTTAAACCCTTTTTGACTGTTTTATTTGATTAAGATCAGATGACTAAGCAGAAGCCACGTTTGTCTGTAAATGTTGAAAATACATTCCAGTGGTCATGGTGACTGAATTTTGTGGGTGGTAGATTTGAAAGATAGGCTTCATCCAGTCGATTGTTTCTGAGCTGTCAGAAGGAAGTACTATAACCTGGGGCAATGCTGTAGGGACCTATTAAAATAAAACATTCATTTCTAAGAAAAAGAGAGTAGTGAGTTAAGAGGTATAGGTAAATGTTTTCAAGGGAAATCTAGTGATTTCAAAGGAAATCACTGAAAACAAAAAACCCAGGAAAGTGATTTTAAAATATGAAATGTAACAGGGAAAGACTTTTGCCCAGTATAATTTATGAAGCTCCTCAGAGGATGGAGGTAACTAACAATTGTCAAGCCAGAAACATGAGATCTGAGAGACACTGAAACATAAATGTTAGAAAACAAGTTCAAAAAAAGAAAACAAGTTCAAAATATGATCTGAATGGATTGTTCCTGAGATGAAAATGCTGTGTGCAGCCACAGTGATTTATTTGCACATGAACAGATAGATAAGAATTCTTTAAAAAATAATAATAGGGTTGTTATTTTGTTTTGTGTATCTTGTTAGTTTTTTGTGTTTTCTAAGGAGAGTACCTTTTTCTTAGATACATAAAACAGTACCCACAGGGTTGTTTGGTTGTTGGTTGGTCAGTCACTGTTGTGACTCTTTCCAACCCCATGGACTGTAGCCCACCAGTCTCCTCTATCCATGGGGTTTTCCAGGCAAGAATATTGGAGTGGGTAGCCATTTCCTTCTCCACCAGGTCTCCCCAGATTAGGGATCAAACCCATAGCTCCTGCCTGGGCAGGCAGATTCTTACCACTGAGCCATGAGGGAAGCCCACCTACAGGAACACCATTTTAATTTATAACATGATTGTAAGGTGGGTGTGAGGTTTACTTGAAAGAAGGAAGGCATAAATAGTACAGTATTCAGGGTTTATGCTGGGACTAGAAGGTAGATCTCCAACATAAAAATTTAATATTGTTAACCAACACCTGCATTTTGTTTGTTTTTTTTCCCCCATTTATTTTTATTAGTTGGAGGCTAATTACTTTACAGTATTGTAGTGGTTTTTGCCATACATTGACATCCAACACCTGCATTTTGAAATAGCCTTTATGTCAAGACCTTAAACATTCATACATACTCACGCATATATACCCGAAGTGACACTTATGGTTATAATGTATGAAGCACTCTAATGTTTTTTCTTCTACTGTATTATATTCTGTTTCATTTTAAACTTCTGTCCTTCCCCTTCCAAATCCCCAAACCAGAAAGCTAGTCACAACCCACTAAGTGGATTTCACAGCAGCTTACAGTTTTGAAAAAGAACTCCGGCTGTTCCACTACTGGTCCCTCCTCCCCTTTCCCCATTCTGATAGACTGCAACTGTAAGAGGTTGTGGAGGGTGAGGTGTTACACTGAAAAATGAAAGTGGGAGTCTGGTAAGGATGTGAGTCATCGTGCCATGTTTATAGCAGCATATGCCGGCAACTGGAAATGTTAGGAAATGATGGACTTACAGACCAAAGCTCCATATTAGAGGGAACATTTAAAGAGAAAGGCAGCTATGGTATGGAATAGGCAAAAAAGTTGAACTCATGATTTCTTATCCACAGCCTGTTTAAGATTAAGAAAAGAGCTTCTGTTGAAAGTAATCCATTTTTTAAAATTTTAATTACATTTATAGTATTTGTATATGATCATATAGTCTTTGAGTGGACATGTTCTCATTTAATTACCCTTCAAAATGAATCAGTCCTCTAATTCAAAGGAACTGGGTAACCAGTAATTTCAGTCAACTGACTGGTTTTAAAATAAATGCAACAGTTATAGGTAAAAAATAACTTGGAAGCTCTGTGTGTTGATAACAGGATTTATTGATAAAGCACATTGGATTTGATAAATAACTTTATTCATCTGAAACCTGTGTGATACTAAATATCAGGAATATTTTTGGTGTTATTTTTTAAATTTACTAACATGACTTTAAATCATTCTGATTTTCCTTCTGTTCCTATGATCCAACCAGGCTAAAATGAGAAAATATGTTTACCCATCAGACATTACTTTGAAAAATCATTTGGTTACTAATATATGAATATCTTGCACTTTCACAAGAAGGCAAATTTTGTTGAATATCATTATTCAGTTGTTAGCATATAGTTTAAAGTTTTGCTGTTGGAGAGCTTCTTAAACTTGGATCTTGGCTTCATGGACTCTGAGT